GAATCATAGAATGATACTTTTCCATATTCCCATTTCCAGAGAATAACAGAACCCTTACAGTAACCCTCGGAAAACAAACTGGAAACTGGCTAAAACAGTATCCGCGTTCCTTGTTCGCAAAGATCTTAGAACAGTCGAGGTGGTACTATAAGGCTAAGTCTCTCAATCAAATGATCTAGCATCCTTGAGAAATGCTGCTCAAAAACCATACACAAAGCCAGTAAGTCGAAACTTAGTACACATTGGTACGTTTATAGAGAGCACTGAAATGGGCACAAAAGTAAAATCAAGAAGGCTAAACTATAGTGAATCAATCGATGGAGTATATGAAGCGGCCAGAGTAATTTCTAAAGATCCAAAATCTATAGGTAGCATTAAGCGAATTGATGGAACATGAACAAACTCTGACACAGAGACTCTAGATCTTTCTTCATCGACCCACTTCCCAGGTTGTATAAACAGGGAACCGACATATGGACATGACCGAATCGGTATATAATTTTATTGGGATTAAAAATACGAATATACCCTTTATGTCGTTTATAACGAGTTCATTTATTTGGTCGTTACAGCGACCAATTTCTCCGATCCCTAGACTGTCGTTTTAACCGATCTCCACTGCACATTATTTACCGAGTCTGCGGTGAATATTTCGAAGTGTTGCAAAAATAATGTCAAATTGTATGTAATTCTTTACGGTAATAATGCCAATAGAGAGGACAGTGATTTGCAAAGATCTGAGGGTAGTCAAAACTATGGGGATAAGGATAACCACCATAATAAACGACTGATGAAAAGAGAACAAGTTATACACGATATCGATATCTAGAGCCATTGTAGATCATCATTATGTCAATCCTACAAGTTTATCTGATGTTATTGATGCCAACCATCTTCTCTAATATATAGGATATTCTGTCATGCAATAACAATCATTTCCGAATTGACGGAACACATTTCATTAAAACAAATCAAAAGGAAAAACCCGTTGATGCCTTTAGGCGGGAATTTTTCTTCAGATTTCCTGTGTTCAGTCAAATAACATCATCATCATCTACCATATTAATGACATTTTGGTATTAGGTTGATGATGATGATGATGACGTCTGGTGGCACTGGTATTAACGAAGCAGTAAATATCGTTTGGTTTTTTTTTCTTCTTCTTAATGATCATTGAAGACGTTGTAGTTTTTCTGTGCACTTTGTGTGCCCTGGAGTTAGGAAGTCTCGTCACGTCGTTCAGTCTGCTGGTTGAGTTACTGTTCCACACGTCCGTCCTTCGTTCGATCGTTGCTTTGTTGGGTTAGTTGGATGGCTGGCTGAGTAGTTGACTACCCGCTTTCATGTAATTTCAGTATCTGCATCACAAGATCTTTTGAAAGTTTCCGCTTTCTTATTCACTCTCACTTTCAATTTTATGCTGCTGTGATTTTTTTCTTCTTCGGGTTTCCCCTTCCCCCACCAGCAACTTCACTGGAGCAGTATTGTGCGCTTTGCGATTAGTTAATGTTACTGGAGTTTTAGTTTTTTTTTACCTTGCTGTGCCGAACTTTGACGTAAAACCGGCCTGTAATACTTAGTGTACGTGTGTGCGACTGCGCACTCAGTTTTGTCAGACTGGGAAAAGCTTTCTTTTGCAAAATATTGCGAATTTTTTTGTGGTTTTTGTTGTTGTTGTGGCCATTGTTGTTTTTATGTCATACATATTTATGTTTGCTTGTGGCCACTTTGCAAAGACGTTGCTAGTTGCTGGTGTTTTTGTTGTTGTTGTTTATGTTAAAGCAGCATATGATTACAGTATTCATGTACTTGTGCAGAATTTATGTACTAACTTGTCTAACAAACATGGATAACAGAAAAAAAACAACAAAAGAAAAAAAAACTACGACAGGCCACCGGTTGAGTAATAATAATTTTTATTAGGTTTATTTTTGTTTTGTGTTGTTGTTGTTGTTTTTAGTTGTATTACCGCCACACATGTTTGAGAACGTGTTTAATATGAAGTAATAATTGTTGACGTTTTGTTGTTTTCTTCTTCTTTCTTTCTTTTGTCATATCATTTCTTTAAGAAATGAGGATTTATGTCATTGTTTATGATGGCGTTGGCTTTGCGCGTTCTTTTTCTCCAAATGGGGTAATCTATAGCTTGGTCTTTGTTTTGTTCGGCGGGTTTTATTTTTGTCTCCGGGTGTTATGACAGGCTTTAAATTAAACAGCACGTATTGCTGTAGCTCTGTTTTGATTGAAGAACACTCAATATTGAATTAATGTTTTCTTTTTGGGGCTAAATTTGGTTTGAAATTTTAGGGGTTTAAGTGTTGTAAACATTATTTTTTGGTAAGTCCCATTACAATGAATCACATTTCAAGATATAAGATTTAGGACTTACGAAAAAAAAAAACTTTAAATTGAGAGAATGAGAAACCCGAGTTGCGCCCACTACTTTTTACTTTCCTACTTTTTTACATCGGAAATGTATGTTTCTCAAACGAATGCCAAACGGACACCTATAGGAATAGCAGAATACTTGAGATTTAGAACTACTTCTGTGCAAATTGATGTTTGTTAAATATATATCAGGGAAGGGTGTGTTAAGCTACTATTTACAAACTGTTATAAATCTACTATTTTGTTCTTTGCTTTTGATAATGATATTACAACAGGTTTATTGCGGCACTCCAGGTTAATCAGGTTGTAATAGGGTACTATTTCAACATCGGTAAACAAAAAAATATCCCAAACAACATTAGATATCTTGATTTGGTAAAAAAACAACTGATATATGGAATATGGACATACAAAGCAGTAGATACGAAGCCGCTGCCTACAAATTACTAGTAGTCTTAATAAAGCTAACATCAGGAAGGCGCAAGTGTCTGAATTTCTACTGCGTAGTGCTCAGTCCTTTACTTTTTCGTGAAAACAAACCACGCAACTTCTCTCTTTATTTTGATATTAATTTTAATCCTCTTCCAGTCCCAGTGTTACTCCTCTTCCACACGACAAGTTATTCCTATTTAACTGTCCTGCTTACCTGTCTCCAAATTTTTTATGAGTGCAGCTGATACAGGATTTGGATACAGAGGAACCAGACAAAACTTAATGAATCCCAATCATTCATTTCAGGACATACAAAAAAATATAGCCGCGATATGGAGATTCTAATCAAACGTCTTCCTATTTGTTATGACACAGCGGATCCATGTTTTTCTTAGTCTGCGATATGGAGGTTCTAGACAAACGTCTTCTTCTTTGTTGTGTCACAGCGTATCCATCTTTTTCATAGCCTGCCCTCTGATAGGTGGGACGAGACCTGGCGCCTTCCGAAATTTCCATTGGAAAGATCAGTACGGTTTGACGTACGTGTTATGTTGTTTACAGGACTTTCACGACAAGAGTTGTCCGTTGAACCTAAATCTTTGTATGGCAATGAAGTATCAAAAACTGACCAAACAAATTATGGTACACCATAATTTGTTTTTCCGAAATTTTTGGAAAAATACGAACAAATGGCAATTTCAGCAACCATACACCTATAGGTCATCCGTCCTACAGCCCTGACTTGAGCTTATTTTTTTTGAGGTCTCATTCCCGCACATAAAGAAAACAGGGGTGGTCAACGTAGTCAGAAGATGCTGTTGAAGCGATCAAAACCACGTTTTGGAGGTGTCTCAATCACAGTGGAAAAAGTTGAAGCGACAATTGGATGGAAGCGCATGATAATAGATCATAAATATTTCTATTTTGCTTATTGGACCAGAAATATATGTAATAGCTCTCTGATAATCAGAAATGCCAAAAAATGTCTACTTCGCTTGGAAAATGTGTCTAGGACCGTATTAACCTATATTGTGAGGATGTATTTTACCTACCGCCTATGAGCCAGCAAGGTGGTCCTCCTCTTCGCTTTAGGAAATGCGCCTAGAACCTTTCAAATCCCACATACACTTACATTGATAATTTTCTTGTGAAAATGTTTTTTCACTCCTCCAGAAAGGAAAAATTTGCCTTTTTCGGTCAAATTAGTTGAAAACGAGACTAGGACTTTTGAAGTGCCTAAAATATGGTCGGGACTCTATACGGGGGTTATGCCAAACAGGCTTCAATATTGAAAAATTTTTTGATACCAAATTTGCAACTTACTTTAGAAAAGGAGCAATTGACCAAATCCAAAGTAACAATATTTCGTCCATTCTTCGGCAAAACTGGACATGTGGTTAAACGGGACCTATGCCAAAACATGGACCGGATATATATTGAAAAAAAAATCAGAGAGAAGGTATTTTATCCTCCCAGAAACAGAAGGTATTTAACTTCCTGCGATAAAGTTTTTCTACCCTTCCAGAACCGAAAAAGGCAAATTGCAGCCAAGTTAGTTGAAAATGAGACTAGCACATTTGAAGTTACTAAAATATAGTGGGGACTCTATACGGGGGTTATGTCAAAACATGCTTCAAAAATGAAAAAAAAATTTCCGATACCCGATTTACGAATTACTTTAGGAAAGGGATCTTTAAACGGGATAGGAATGAATAATTTTAAAAATTAGTGGAAAACTTTCAAAATATTTAAAATGAAAAAGAACCTCTACATGGAATTTATGATGAAACTAAATTGATTTTAAAAATATCCTCGCTTAGGAAAATATACATTTTCTATGGGGATAAAATGGATAAGACAATACGAACATTTACTGCCATTTTTTGTCCACAATCGCTGAGAGATTAATTTGTGTTAATCAATTTTTTTAATTAAATTTAAAATCATCGTTTCACATAACCCAACAAACATTGTGGCCAAATATTTGCAAATACAACTTTGCATTGTATTCCAATTAACTTTCAAAGAAACCATTAATCATTAACAAATTAAAAAAAGCAAGCAAATTGCACAAAAAAAAACACAATTAAACTTAAACAAAAGAATTTTGAAAATAAAATTATAAAAAAAATAGAAACTCAAACAAAAAAAGAAACAATATAACAGAAAAAAAGTATTACCGTTTGTTTTGCAAATGAACCCCAAAAATGGAGATTTCCTGCCTGGAAAAACAAAAGAAAAAGAATTCAAAAAAAGAAGATAAGTGAACAGAAATCATTGGAGAGAAACAAAAATGTGAAAGAAACAAAAACAAATATTTTTCGGCACGCATGTTTGTTTTTGTTTAATATTTGGCAAAAAGCAAACGGACACACAAAGGAAAACAAAGAAAGAAACAAACAAAAAATAAGCAAACATAACGTCATTCAGGTTAAATGGGTTTGAACCTTTAAAAAACGATTCAGAAGATGCTGGCTAAAAAGATAATGCTTGCGGATGATGATGATGGTGGGAAAGGGTAGCGACGAGCGATTAGCAATGAGAGGCAATGATAAAACAAAGTGTTAACGAAGAATGAAAACAAAGACAAGAAATTAAAACAAAGTTTGGTTTTTGGAGACACGCACAGCACCCAAACAGATTAACTCAAACCACACAGAAAAATCTTAAACTTTTACTTTCAAAATAACACTTTCACTATAATGATTATCGGGGTGAAACAGAATGAATTTGTTGTAGCATTAAAATATATTGAGAAAATATATATATATGAGAAAATGGTAACTCCGATGATGAAGATGGCTAAAATGTGATAATTATAAAAATAGAATGGGTTCTTAAAATAAAATAAACTTCATAATAAATACAAGAAAAATTATAAATAAATCTGTTTCCTAAGTAAGCCTCTTAAAAAAGTAGTTTTTTAATTACAAATATATTATTTTAAAATATAATTTCCATACATTGAATAGTTTTTTTGGGACAAAAAATATAAGTATAAAAAGCTTCAATTGGGCTTGACAAAAAATATATACCATCTGTCAATAAAATTATACTACTGCACTTATCCTGACCGTTTTACACAATTTTGGTCCAGTGTAGAGGAGAAACTATTTTTATTAAATTTATATATTTTTAAAACGGCACAGTTACCCGAAAGAGTGGATCGATGGGCTACATATTTTTACTTGGTCTAGGTTTGATAATAATATTACGTTGTGTACAGTTTGGCTGGGACACAGCAATCCTCCAGCTTTAATCCTTTTTGAGAGGTATCAGATGGTGGGGACCCATGTTTCCCGTCTTTTTAATCAGTTTGGACACCCCATTCGCTTGACGTTGGATTTGAAAATTTTGACACTTTGCGGACCTAATTTTAAGATTTATGAAATTTACGATGTGCAAACTTTTAATTAGATTGGACACCCCATTCGCTTGACGTTGGATCTAAACATTTTCAAAATGTTGACTCATTTTGGAACCAGGTACCAGCAGGTGTGGACCGGAAAATAGTCCTATGGGCAAAGTTTCAATGAAAATTGATATTCTCTTCCATTCATATGTGATTTGCAAATTTCCAAAATGTTAGCCCTTTTTGGGGGAGGTACTATAAGGAGTGGACTGATGAGGCCCGCAGAACTTGTTCTAAGTTTAAAAAAAAAATATTAAAATGTTTGTATAAATTTGGTCACGTAGTGACGGACATTTGCAAAATGGACTCTAAAAAGGTCTAATAACAGACATTTTGATGAGGCATATTCTTGTCATAGCAAAGTGTTTTTTGGGCCTTCAAAATATGGAGGCTATGTCAAAACATGGATCATAGTTGAGCGTTTTCTAAAACTTTTGCTTGGTACTGAAAATGGGATATATCGGTCAAGGTTTTAGTATAGGCCCCATATAATCATATCATATATTTCAAGCAAATTTGAGGTAAATCGGAATAATTTGGTAGAAAATCATTCTATCAAAATTGGCCAATATGTAGCCCAAATTTCAGGGTAGCTTCCATAGAACATCACCTTTATTATTCGGTATTTTGAGGATTTTGAATGCATTTTGTATCTGAATTGGCCATCATTTTATATTATGTGTTCTCAGCGGGTTTCAAATCTTCTTATTATACATTAATTATATAGGTCCATATTCAAGGTCCTTGGACAATTTTCTTTGGTTTTATATTTTATTTTCTCCGGGCAGAGAATGGATAATGGCCATGGCATAGCACCAAAAAATGTCACGATTAATTTTAAATATTGAAAATCTCCACCTTTCAAGGTCCTTGGACAATTTTCTTTGATTTTATATTGTATTTTCTCCGGGCAGAGAATGGAGAATGACCATGGCATAGCACCAACAAATGTCACGATTAATTTTAAACATTGAAAATTTCCACCTCATGGTGGAGGGCTACTTCGAACTTCAGATTTTAGAAATTTGCAAATCGAACTTGTAAGAAACATTTTTGAAGAGCTTTAAATTGGTATCGATCAACCTGACCTATACTTTGAGATTAGTATTTTATTCCTTAAGGGGACCCCCCCCCCATTCTCGGTGTCAAAAAATTTATATAGTTTTTCGAATCTACACTAATTCAAGAATGTCTCTACAAAATTTCAAGTGAAAAACTCAAGAACTCTTGAAGATATAGTCGATTTATTGTGTCAGCATCAAGTGACGACAAGAGTGACTCTCAAACTTTAAACGAATTTTTTTCGAATCAATATGGCGGGCACGATAACTCAAAAACTAATAACCCAATCGATTTCAAATTTTGGGACGTTTCCTGTGAGTATATAGCTATCGTATGATTAACTTATTTACTTTTTTTAACTTAGTTTGAGGTCAAAAATAGGCGATTTTCCAAAAAAAAATTGAAAGTTCCGCCATTTTGTTAATTGTTGTGCGAAGTCAATAATCCTAGTTCATACGAGAGCCAGACATGTACTCTTTCCAACACCTTTGGAATTTTCGGATTCCGATGTTCCAGTGAGGAGTTATCATTCCCGCCATCAAAAATAAGGACTTTTCTTTGATCACAAAAAACAACAAAAAAAATTTTTTATAAATTATTTGTTTTCCTTTTTAAATCTTCAAATATATATCTTCAAAGTTACAAACCTTAACAAACATTTACCAGCCCATTTAAAATCTTAAAAATAAAAAATCGAGAATGGGGGGTTCCAACAAATTTCTATTTATATTTGCCTCTTAGGCCTACATTCGCCAACACGATATGTCTATGACAATGATAAAATATGGCATTATTCACATTACGAACAAGAAGTGGTCTCATTCATTTTGACATAGAGCCTGTCATTTTGGGAATTTTTCAGTGATTTCATTTCTTTCATTTCTTCTTCTTCGTAACCTTAAATGAAATTTCTGAAAAGAAAGTAAGGCCTATCTCCGACCAAATACCACACGAAATAAATATATAACAATCGTTATATATGACTGTGTGAGCGTGTATGTGTGCTAAAGAAGAATAATCAGAAAAGAGTGAGCATGAGGTTTAACATGAAATACACGGCTGCGCAGTCAAGTTTTGGAAAGACGAAAAGAATGCGAGAGAAAAAAAAACGGTTAACACATCGAAAAATTAGGTCAGTGGTTTAAAGTCAATTCACTGGGGGCCAACAAGCCAGAAAGAAACAAAAAAACACACACAAAAAAAAAAACAACAATAAATACCGAAACTGAGATTTTGTCGTTTTGTAGATTTTATTTTTTTTTTCATTTTTTAATATTATTATTTTAATTTAATGTGAAATATTCTTAAGCTTCCATTCAAGACAAGTTTTGTATATATTTTTTGTATAAATTTCTCTCTTTGGTGAATTTGATTTAAGTCATTAACTCTAATTTACATAATTTGTTTGAAATAAATTAACAAAAGTTTAATATAGTATTTTATTGTTGTTGTTAATGGTGATGTTGATGATTCTGTGCTGTTATTACTGTTACCGGTATTTTTTCTTCGTTTTATTTCTCTCGTTTATTTTCTACCTGTTTTCACTTTCATTGCCAGTATAAGAATGGTTTGAAATGAAACCATAATGGATTTTTTTTTTCGATGTGGGACTACCTTAACACAATTTATGATGGGTGTTTTAGTCACTGGGTATGTATTTTGTATAAAGAACAAATGTATTATTTGACTTTGGGGACCTATGGTAGATTTTATGCGTGTTTGATTTGATGGTAAATATTTTATAATAATTGGACCTAAACAGTAAAAATTGTCTTATTCCGATAATTGTTAATAATTTAGCAAGTAATCTTTCTATCGCTCTCATAGTACAAAAATTTCGGTGAAAGGAAAATTTGTAACAATGCAAAGAAATTCATGTCCTTCTAAACCAACACAACAGCCAATCAGAAGGTGACATTTTTCTTTACTATTTTACTCGACCAAATTTGCTTGGTGCCAAATAGGTGAACCACGTTTCTTTTTGGATTCTCTAAATTTGTTTGTAATTTTCCCTAGGATGTTTGGTATTGCAATTGGGATATATCGTTTTGATATAGCCCCCATATAACCTATCCCCCAATATTCGGTATTTTAGGGATTTTTGACAGTTTTTTAAACCGAATTGGCAATAATTGGGTATTTAGGATTCTCGTGGAATAGCACATATCCGCAGCAAAAATTAATTATAGTTTCAGGGTAGCTCCCATATAACCGTACCCCAAATATTCGGTATTTTTTGAGGGATTTTGGACACGTTTTCCAACCGAATTGGTTGTAATTTGATACTCAGTATGTAGTACATATCCCTACCAAAAATTATTAACAATGACCCAAGCTTCAGGATAGCCCCCATGAAACCGAACCCCCCATTTTGGCTGTAATTTGGTATTTAGGGTTCTCATTGAATAGCACATATCCGCAGCAAAATTATTAATATTGACCCAAGTTTCAGGGTAGCCCCCATATAACCAAACTCCCTAATATCCGCTATTATGGGGCTTTTGGACCCGATTTTCAATCAAATTGGCTGTAATTTTGGTTCTCTACCCATACCAAAAACTTTTATTATTGACCCAAGTTTCAGGTAAGCCCCAATATAAACGTACTCCCCAATAATCGGTATTATGGGGATTTTGGACACCTTTTCTAACAAACTTGGCTGTAATTTTGTATTTTGGCTACCCCTCATATGGGAATTTTTGCCACGTTTTTCTCAAATTATCTGTAATTTGGTATTTGAGTTCTCAT